CCTGCCCCCCTAACAAAAATCCTGGCTATGCTCATGCCCCCCTCCCCGGTCGTACTGGTAGAAAGGGCCTATTTAAATGTTTTGTTTGTAAATAGAACATGTTTTATTTATCATTTTTATAATTTAAACAAAATACAATTACATAAAATGATAGGAACATAATGAAAAGTTGTTGAAGCAGAAAAACAGAATCATAGCGCTGGAAGGGACCCCAAGGGTTATCTTTTTATTGCAACCCCCTGCAATGCAGGAATCGCAGCTAAGGCACCCATGGCAGATGGCCAGCCAACCTCTGCTTAGAAACCTCCAAGGAAGGAGAGTCCACCACATCCTGAGGAAGATCCACCTTCCATGTATTATTAAAAGTTAACAACGCTTATTTGACCCAAGTTATTTGACACAGAGGGGGAAACCTACAGATACAGTCCAAAAGGTGCACACGGAGTTCTGTATATATGGGAGAGTTTTAAAATGCAAGTGGTCCTCACCGACCTGGTGCAAAAAGATCTTGTCATCAGGAGAGCCCTGGCTGCCTAGATAAAACACTATAGCCCTCCCCCCACTTACCTGGGAGTAAGGCCCACTGAACTCAGTGCAGCTTTCTTCTGAGTAGACACTTAGTTATTTACTAGATGCCAGTCAGCAGCACCAGACGACCCCGATCAGCTAGGCCCTGTGGTGGATTTCACTCCGCGCCTTGCAGAGCCGGGCCAACAGTGCCAACGGACCCTGCAACCCTCGGCAACATCCGAAGGCCCTGATCCACTAGGCGCTCGCTGGGATGGATTGGACTCTGCGCCTTGCAGAGTTAGGCCCAGCACGTGGCAGCAACAAGCAGCTCTGGCTCGCCCAGCCCTACCCATTGCTACCCCACCACTGCACTTAACTGACCTCTAGGGCTTGCTGATCAGAAGGTCGGCGGTTCGAATCCCCGCGACGGGGTGAGCTCCCGTTGCTTGGTCCCTGCTCCTGTCAACCTAGCAGTTTGAAAGCACGTCAAAGTGCAAGTAGGTAAATAGGTACCGCTCCGGCGGGAAGGTAAACGGTGTTTCCGTGCGCTGCTCTGGTTCGTCAGAAGCGGCTTAGTCATGCTGGCCACATGACCCGGAAGCTGTACACTGACTCCCTCGGCCAATAAAGCGAGATGAGCGCTGCAACCCCAGAGTCGTCCGCGACTGGACCCAACAGTCAGGGGTCCCTTTGCCTTTACCTGTGCCCCCCTAGACGCGTGCTAAGCCCCCCCCATTTACGCACTTTTCACCATATGGCTCCCGGTTGGGAAACACATATAGTCTATGCAAGATCATCTGCCCATAACAGTGGGAGAGCAAGGGTGCCACATAATATTGTTAGCATAGAAAATCACTTCTGATTATTCAAGCAAGTCAGGAAAGCTACAGGGGAAGTCCAAAAATAAAAATCTGAAGTCACCTGCTGAGCTAACTGCAGAAGTAATTCCTAGCCCTGTATGAATGAGATGGTTCAGTGTCCTGAGTCTTCTTCAAAAGAAGTTTTCAGTGGAGAGTGATACACACATTACCTGGCAGGCTATGCATGTTAGCACAGTTAATTTTAACTATGAAAAATTTGAAATGAAATGAACATTAGTGGTCACACTGCTGTTGGCAAGGCACCAAAAAAAATAAAAAGGAAGCTGCCTGCAATTGCAGAAGGCAACCGCTAGAGGGAACTAAAGCCCGTAAGATTGTGATTTTGTTCATATTTATTTCCTTTTCTGTGCCTGCAGCAGTAAGGCACAGGGTTTCGCAGAAGTTCAAGGGTGATGCTGGTGAAGGGATAAGCGTGGGCGGCATCTGTGTCTCTACCAAGAGCAGAATGTATGTCAATCTTAATAGGTGCACTCGGAGGAGAAGGCCATGCGGAAACTCTGACACACTGGAAAACTGGATATGTGAGAAAAGAATAATAAATGGGTAAACTTCCAGCAGCCCTCACCATATTTGCTAAAACTTAGTTCTTCCGATGTGCTTTGTTAAGCCACCTCCACTCTGGTGCTTTTCGTTGGGAGCCCTCGAGCCATTTCTCTGTACGATTTGAACTGGAGATCCGACCTCCCTTCCCTTTGATCCTCTGCAGAGGAGGAGGCACGCTGCTGTTTTTCATTAAACTCTCGCCCCTCCCTCTTCTAGCCTGATTGTAACCAAATGGCCCGTGAAGAAGTGTTTTGTTTCTGGATTTAAACATTTGCTGTGCTTTTCGTTGTGGCCAGCAGGGGGCATTGCAAAACACGTGCCTTTTCTTTCTTTTTATTTTTTTTTACCGACAGTGTGTGAGTAACAACTTTCAGGCACTCTTACTGTTATTTTTTTATGAGTATACCTCATAATTGGGCCCCTTTGATTTCTTACAGCCTCATTCTGCCTTTTCTAATTAAATACCAGCTGTGTTTAGCCAAAGGGTGACTTATTCAATTAGAGCTGCTTAAAGCAATTAGAAGTTATTTAAAACCACATGCTGGAAGTTATTTGGCAAGCCTTCCTTGTGGTTTGATGCCTGCACAGGGCCAGGCCGTTGCTTTGGCAGAGCTCTCGAGTCCACCCCCGTGGTGGCTGGAAAGGGCAAGGGGGAGCTAGAGGCGCAGTGGCAGGAGGAATTAAGGGAGCTAGTAAAAAATCAAGACCTCTCACATCCTGCTAGAAAAGTTCACCGCCTCAGCGGGACTCAGGGGTATTGGATCTTAATCTGTTGCTTATTCTTCCTCGTGATTTTCTGCAGCGGTGAACTTCAAACGTTATACTTCCAGGTGCTGCTTCCTACATGGATGTGAATGCTGAGGAGTTCCTGCTTGTTTTCCCTGGAGAGCCAGTGTGGTGTAGTGGTTAGACTAGACCGTGTTGGACTAGGACCTGGGATAAAGGTAAAGGTAAAGGGACCCCTGACCGTTAGGTCCAGTCGTGGCCGACTCTGGGGTTGCGGCGCTCATCTCGCTTTATTGGCCGAGGGAGCCGGCGTACAGCTTCCGGGTCATGTGGCCAGCATGACTAAGTCGCTTCTGGAGAATCAGAGCAGTGCACAGAAACGCCGTTTACCTTCCCGCCGGAGCGGTACCTATTTATCTACTTGCACTTTGACGTGCTTTCGAACTGCTAGGTTGGCAGTAGCTGGGACCGAGCAATGGAAGCTCACCCCGTCAAGGGGATTCAAACTGCCGACCTTCTGATTGGCAAGTCCTAGGCTCTGTGGTTTAACCCACAGCACCACCCGTGTCCCTAGGACCTGGGATACCAGCGTTTCAAATCTCTACTTGGCCAGGAAGCTCCTCCCGCACTTGGGCCGGTCATGGTCTCTGGGAGAGTTAAATCAGGAGCGGGAGACTCACGTATGCTACCATGAGATCTTTGGAGGGAGGTAGGATGCGCATGCAATCAATAACAAATATTCTGAGCCGTGGTCTAGGGCAGACTTGGGGGGGAGGGTGTACTTTGGTTCTTATTAGAACACTAATACAGAAGCTAAAAAGTGGCTAAAAGCTGCAGTCCTGCTTCCCAGGGCTTGGGAACCTGTGGCCTTCCTGATATTGAATTCCCAACTCATCCCTGACTTGGTCACAAGAGCTGCCCTAGACCACGGCTCAGCATTTACCTGGGAACAAACAGCATTTCCCTACGAACTCAGTGGGGCTTGCTGCCCTGTAGTCTTTCAGAAGACGCTGCTCTAAAGGGGGGTGCAGAGAATACACTTAGAAAGAAGGAATAAAATTTAAAATATTAACTGATTCAAAAGAAAGAGGGGGGTTTGCCCTGCCAGACTTGAGGTTATATTATGAATCTGCAGCCTTCTGCTGGTTGAAGGATTGGTTTTTGTTGGAGAACACTGATGTCCTAGATCTGGAAGGGTTTGATAATGCTTTTGGTTGGCATGCATATCTATGGTACGACAAGGTTAAAACTCACAAATTGTTTAAAAACCATATTGTCAGAAGAGCATTACTTATGGTCTGGACAAAATATAAGGACTTGTTAGAGGATAAGACCCCGAGGTGGTTATCACCAGTGGAGGCCAAGGCTCGAAAAAGACCCAATATGGAGGCCTACTGGCCGAAATACTGGGAAATAATTGAAAAAATTGGAGACAACTGGAAGTTGCAGAGCCTGGAGAAATTAAAAAATAAGGTGCGGGACTGGTTACATTATGCTCAAATTCAAGAGGTTTTTAAAATAGACAAAAAAGTTGATTTCCAGGTGGAAAAATCGAAACTAGAAACGGAATTGTTAGAACCAAAGACTAAGATACTTTCGAGAATGTACAACTTGCTGCTTAAATGGAACACACAGGATGAGACAGTTAAATCTGCCATGATAAAGTGGGCACAGGACATTGGGCATAACATTATGTCTGAGGACTGGGAAAGGTTATGGAACACCGGAATGAAGTTCACGGCGTGTAGTGCCCTGAAGGAAAACATTATGAAAATGGTATACCGGTGGTACATGACCCCAGTCAAGCTAGCTAAGATATATCACCTGTCTGATAATAAATGTTGGAAATGTAAGGAGGCAGAAGGGACATTCTTTCACCTCTGGTGGACCTGCCCAAAAGTGAAGGCCTTCTGGGAAATGATTTACAATGAATTAAAAAAGGTATTTAGGTATACCTTTCCCAAGAAACCAGAGGCCTTCCTCCTGGGCATGGTAGACCAGAAAGTGTCAAAGAAGGACAGAACCTTATTTATGTATGCTACTACAGCAGAAAGAATCCTTATCGCAAAGCATTGGAAGACACAAGATTTACCCACGCTGGAGGAATGGCAGACGCAGTTGATGGACTACATGGAACTGGCTGAAATGACTGGCAGAATCCGAGATTTGGGAGAAGAAACAATGGAAGAGGACTGGAAAAAATTTAAGGACTATTTGCAAAAACATTATAAGTTGTATGAATGTTAAGAATGTGCATGATTAGGAAATTTTAGCTTCAGCAACTTGACTTTGATGAATTGAAAATTAAGCTATAAGAAAAAAAGAGGCGGAAACAGGAAATAATTTTATTATGTTTATTTTAAAAAGTATAAGAATTAGGATACACTATTTGGAATTTAGAAACATGATAACTGAAAGATACAATAAGATATGAAACAAGGTAACAAATTGCTGATATTTCTATTACAAAGAATGCAGGATTTGGAGGATCTGGGGAAGTCCAATGGGTTTGGAAAAATATTATGGAAAATTGGTTTTTTTTATCTTTCTTTCTCTTTATTCTCTTTCTTTTTTCTTTATTCTGTAAATTTCCCGACTACGAGAACTGAAACTCAATAAAAATATTTATAAAAAAGGAAAAAGAAAGAAGGAACAGGGAGGCTTTTAACACACTGAGCTGAGCCCAGGGATGGGATTTGTGCACCAGATTTGAGCTTGCTGTTCTTTTCTCCAAAACCCCACTTCTGCACTCCCTCTTATACACTCTTCATTAACCAGCTGAATTTGGGGCCAGAGAACCAGACTTTTGCATCCAGTGGAAGTCCAATTGCTTATTTATTGCAACCGATCCAGAGGTTGTCTGGGAAATCTTGATCTATTATTACTTTCACACTTTTGTTTAAAGAATGTAAGTCACACTTCAATTTAAAAAATAATAATTCTCGGCATCTTACAAATTAAACAGTAACATACATAGTAATCTACCTCCCCCCTTGCCCATGTTCAGTTCATACAGGTACTTGCCTGGGATGGAGAACATCAAACCATGAGGCCCTCCAAGCTACTCCCCCCATTAGCCTTGCTTTGCATCCCAGCCAGAATGTGCCTTTGAACTCTGATAATGCCTCTTGCTTGGCTGGAGGGAGGATAGAAAGTAGAAACAAGCCTACTGTTAAAAGGATAACATTCATATTCATGACTCTGCCCACCATTGACGTGCGGCCCTCAGAAGGTTGTGCAGAAGAGAAGGTGGCCCTTGAGCTGGGAAAAGTTCCCTTCCCTTTGTCCTAGACTCTGGGCCTCACCATCCTCTCTCGCATCCACCCACCCGCTGTGTGAACTGGGAATGTGGTGTAGCACAAACTGAACCCTCTTGGCAAGTTTCAGAAGCTTATCTGTGGTTACATATCTTCTCCTTGGAGGAACCCTCCCAAGTTTTCTAAAGAACATTGTCTTGTGGGCTATTCTTGGAATCTGCTGTCATGTATATTTTGGCAGAAGTGTACCAAAAAGGAAGGGACTTTGCAGAGTTTGTTTGGAAGCCTCCACCTGCAGCCACCAATGCTTGCAATTTGCTTTTTATTGGCCCAACTGGTTTTACTTCCTATATGGTTTCCTCAAACAAGTTGTTTTCCTGGCATTTCTCCACTCCAAGGATATGCCTTGCAGCCCAAATGTACAGGTCTCTTGGGGTGACGGCAGCCCAGCTGATCCCATTGCTGGAACCAGCATGTACGTTTGCCATGGGACAGTCCCCATCGCCTTCTGGCATGTCACCCTGCCCAATGCCAGACTTGTGTCTGACTGGGCCCATTTATGCAGGTCTATCTTTCCACTGTCGGGGTTTCAGTAGCTCACAAGGTAGAGCTTTTTGTGTCAGCTATACTTTCCACATGTACGATGCTGCAGGAAAGCAAAGCTGTGTTTGTTCCTCTGACATGAACGCTGCCCCATAAGCTCCAGGCTGACTTGCATGATACACATCCAATTAGGCCTGGAGCCACTTCCCTCGGGCTCCTTTGCCTTCCTTGGCATTCATATGGTACATAAGCGACTCACTGCTGGTTATAACCTTTAAAACCCTTGTCTGCATATGGGGGCATGTAGTTCCGTTGCCCAGCTCACCTCCCTCATTAACCAGCTACCTTGATTTCTCCAGACCTGCCCTTTCCAGAATCCTTCGTTGCATTTCCAGCTCCGTTTGCCCTTCCAATTAAATTGGACAGGACTAACTCATCATTGCTTGCTTCAAGGTTATTTTGAGCAGCTATTTTATGCATTCTGTCCTCATTACCTACCGGTGCTGCAGCCGACAGCAGTTTTCTCCTATGGGCCGAAGGCATTTAACATCTTCACTGCATACCCAGGAACCCTTGGAGGGGGGTTGGACAAAGGATCTTATATGTGTTCAGGATGTTGAAATGGCCTGGAATAGGCTGTGTTTCTTAATTACAGGAGGAGCTTTGAGCTATTTCTCTTCTGGCATGGTTCCACATCACATTGTCATAAATAAAATGGAAAGAAGATGGATTGGAAAGCTGCCTCCTGTAAGGTGGGGGGATGTGTTGGGTTGTGGAAAAAGTGCACTCAAAATGTAGCCAGGAATGAATCGCAGCGAATGAAGGAGCAAGGGGTTTTCCAAAGGAACAGTTGTGGGTCTTCCTGCTCTATTTGCTGTTTTAATAATGTGCACAGAGGAGTGTAGAGGATGCTCATCTACCATATTTTTTGCTCTATAACACTCACTTTTTCCCTCCTAAAAAGTAAGGGGAAATGTGTGTGCGTCTTAAGGAGCGAATGCAGGCTGCACAGCTATCACAGAAGCCAGAACAGCAAGAGGGATTGCTGCTTTCACTGCACAGCGATCCCTCTTGCTGTTCTGGCTTCTGAGATTCAGAATATTTTTCTTCTTGTTTTCCTCCTCCAAAAACTACCGGTAGGTGCGTCTTGTGGTCTGGTGCGTCTTATAGAGTAAAAAACACGGTAGTTTGCTAGGAATACAAATCCACAACTCCAGGTTCAGCAGTCCAGGGGTTGCCAATGTGATGTCCTCGATACAAGGCTGGAAAACAATTCCCACTGTTCCTGACCATTGGCAGTGCTAACTGGGATTGATGAGAATCAAACAACATCTGGAAGGCACTGCATTGGCTATGTCTGGATTAGACAATGACATGGATAAACTAGAACACAGGGCTGAAAACAAAAAAAATAAGTCCTCCAGCTAGCAATGTAAGAAGAGCCCTCCTGGAGCAAAACAAAAGACCTACCTGGTTCGGCATCCTGTTTCCTGCCATGGCCAGCTGGACAATACAAATCTTATGGTGCGCCCACATTTGGAATACTGAGTACAGTTCTGGTTGCCTCTCCTCAAACAGGATACTGTAGAGCTGGAAGTTTCAGAAAAAGGCAACCAAAACAATCAAGGGGAGGGAATGACTCCTCAGCGAGGAGAGGACATTTGGGGCTTTGTAGTTTAGAGAAAAGGTGACATGATGGAAGTGCATAAATCTATGCATGGTGCAGAGCAAGCCGATAGGGGAAAGTTTTTATCCTTTCCTGCATTGACACTAGAACTCATGGGCATCCAATGAAGATGAATGTTGGAAGGTTCAGGACAGACAAAAGAAATTTTTTCTATACACAGCACATAGTTAAACTACGGTAAACTGTTTATTTCAAACCAAAGCTCAGCTCCTGCACTTCAGTCCAATAGGGTTGAATGTGTGCAGAGAAGAGAAAGGGGAAGCACAAGGGTGTTCTGAGTTGGATTTTTTAAAAATAAAATAAAAAAACCAATGACTCAGTTACATAGAGGAACGGTTAACTTAGAAACATGCTGTCATGCAACATTCCCTGCACCCTATGCATTTAATCCAGCTGCATCGGTATACAGATAGACAAGGGTTGAATTTCTAAGCAAGCTTGTTCTGAGAAGCTTTTCAGTATTTACCTCTTTTATTTTTACTTTGAAAATACTTATTTCATATTCACACACAGCACCAAGGGATGCATATCTGCACCTGCAATATGAAAAGTAATAGGCGTTAGTGCAAATTCTACTCCGCTGCTGCCCATAATAAAGAGCGGCAGGAGCAAAAGCGAGGTAGGTCAATTTTATTTCCCCCATAGGGGAGAGAAGCGGGGACACACACACACACGCTCACATAGCCACCCAGCGGTCCCAGCCCCATTGTGCACATACATGGAGTCCCGACTCCGTAGCCTGGGGTAGTGGTGAATTCGAATCCTGCACTTCTGCCCCTGGCTACAAAGCCAGTCCTCTAGCGCCAACAATATCCCAGCTGCTTCTTGCTCCAAAGCGAGAGAGGCGGGCGAGAAGCGCTTAGAACAAGAGGCTCTGTGTGCGCGCAGGCTGGGGCGACGATGCCCACGTGGAAAGTGTTGCGCTCAGTGGCGTAGCGTGGGTTGTCAGCACCCGGGGCAAGGCAAGTAATTTGCGCCCCCTAACCCGTGGATTTGCGCCCCCTAACCCGTGGATTTGCCCTAACCCCAGATGTTGCGCCCGGTGCGGCCGGCCCCCCCTGCACCCCCCGCGCTACGCCACTGGTTGCGCTCCTTCTTTTCCTGGCCTGGGGCTCTTTTGCTCCACTTTCCCCGAGTCCCATGTTCTTTCCCCCCTCTTGACTGATTGACAGGGAAACACAGAAACACACACACACACACACACACACACACAATCCGATGGCCTTATAAAGTAACACGCGCCTCCGTCTCCCTCCCCCCGCCCTCCCCCGAAGGCCAACACTTCCTGCGCGGGCCGCCCGCTGCGCGCCCTCTCCGACCCTCCAGGCGCGCAACACGCTTGTTTCTCCGGGGCGGGCGGGACAAGCCACCCCGCGGCCGCCGCTGGCAAGACCCGCCAGCGCGGCGTGGCGCGTAATCTTCGCCGAGGTGGAGGGCAGGGCCAGGAGGAGATCCCCCCCCTCCAGCTCTCCACCCTCCCGAGCGCAGCGCCGGCAGCACTTCGCCGAGGAAGAGCAGGCGCGGCTCCATTGCCTCCCGCCGGAGATCCGGCGCCCAGTGTGAGTGCCTCGACGGGCGGGAAAGGGGCGCGGGGCGGCGAGTGGCCCGGGCGGGGCTCGCCCTGAAAGCCTCCTTTGTGGACTGCGCTCCGCTCTCCAAGCCGCTCGCCTGCCAGGCAGGGCTCTCCTTTCCACGTGGCAGCCGCTTCCTCTAGCCTGGGCTGGGAAAAACAAATAACTTCGGCCATGTGTTGATTCTGCCAGCCATAGATATTTTGGGTGTGCGGGAGGAGGGGGAAGCAGGGCCGGCCCGGGCCTGGCCGAAAGCTGGAGGAAAGGGGGTGGGGGGAGAGAAGCGAAGGGATCGCTTCAAGGGGGGATCGAGTCGCTAGAAAGTGCTGGGAGGGGGTCGTAGTAAAACCAATGATCTCCCCCCTCACCTTCCTGATAGCTTCCAAAATGGGGTGGCTCCTTCTGCATGGAGATAAGGATATTCTGATCGCTCCCCCTCCACCGCCCCCATTTCCAAGTCGACGGGCGTCCTGGAAGGGAATAAAGCGGCAGGATCTCCGGAGGGCACAGGGTACTCCTAGGGTATCTTCGGGCACCCAATAGAATATTTGAAGGTACTGGGACCCCCCAAATTTATGAGCATTGGCATTCAAATGGTGTTTGAGCACCGCATCTTGTGATCGATTATGCGAGGCGGGGTTTACAGACCCCCCCAATTTTTTATTCAAGTTGGCCCCCCCCATACCGGGGGGCTTTGAGGGGTTCATAAATGGGGGTAGGCGAGTTCACCGAGGAAATGGGACAATCCCTGCAGTGCTTGAAACATATGTGGGTTTGCTTAGGATCATCTCCTTCCTACCTGTTGCGATGCCCCACTTTGCCCCTTTACTTGTGGGTGGAGAGGCGACGGGGAGCATGGTTTGGCTTCAGTGGGGCAGTGGCGGCGTGGGGGGCGGGCGGGCGGGGCGGCCAGGGCGCTGTGGGGAACTTAAGGACCCCCTTCCCCCAATCCGAGCACTGCCCTTTAGCAACAACTGAATTCCCTCTACTTAAATCCTAACAGATGTTCTTCCCTCTGCTCTTCTTCACACCTCCGGAGACTCCACAGTTTCCTGGAGCAACTTTTTCCTCCTTTTTTGCCGTTAGGGCGCTCAGTCTGATGTTCTTCCCCGGAAATCGCATCTTCCTGGAAACTGCTGCCTTTTGTTCTTCTCCCCCAAACTTCAGCCCCTGGCACATGGGAACTTGCAGCTTTTCTTGTGCTGCTTCTCTCCCCCCCCCCCCAATGCAGATAGGACAGGCTCTCAGCTACAGAGAGGGACCCAAGACTGCTTGGTGTCTATTGGGCAGAAAGCCCAGTTGTGTTCCCCCCACAATAGTCATAATAACTGAAAATCTGCTGGTGTGCAGTGCTGCCCAAATGCACTAGCCTGCCTCTTCTCAGACTCTCAGATCCCTGTGATGTCTGGAGAAGATGAAAACATTTCCATCCCAGGGCCAATTCTGGGTTGATGATGCCCAGCTAGAACCTGCCCCTCTCAAAAACCCCCAATACGTTCCACAGATTTCCCACCAGAATCTTCAACCCTTCCGTAGGGGAGAATGGGGTCCATTGGACATCTTGCCCTCCTCTTCCTAATGGTCTTTCTTAAGGCCAAGTCACATTATTCCTTCTGTCTTGGTGGTGGAGAGTTTCTCATGCCCCCTCTCACCTTACCACTATCAGAGCCAAGAAATAGTTGTTTGAAGGTTTGTGCAGACATCTGAAGCAGCCACTTTGGGGCATGGCAAACCCATTCGCCGTGTACATGCTGTCATCCAGCTAGTGTGAGCGAGAGAGTGATAGCATGCATTGTGTTGATGCATCCTTGTTTTTAATGCACGTGGATGTCTGACAGATTGGTGCAGTGACTTGTCTTTCCTTTCCCCTTTTGCTTATGTTGAAGTGTCGTGAACACAAATGTTACTTTCAAAGATGTGTGTGTGTGTGTGTGTATGCCTAAATATAGACTTCTGGAGAAGGTCGCTTCCAGGGTTTGGAATGAATGATGCAACTTTGTTTCGATGTTCTTATGTCTCACTATTTGTTTTTATTGTAACCTTGCGATGGTCAAATAACTTGTGGAACTTCTTTCCCCCTTCTGAAGTTTTTTCAGCTAGAGTGGCTTTGTGCAAAGGAGGACAGCAGCAGAACTTTGGCAGGACACACAGTGTTCAGAAAAGCTGAATCTATTGAACTCCCCTCTTCTGTTAGACATCTAGGAGCTTTGCCTTCCTTTGCAATTTGATCACCTTACCTTAAGGGGTGTGTGGAGCACAGGAAAGCAGGGAAACTTAGATGGACAGCAGGAGATACAGGCACACTAAACCGCGGGGAACTGTGAAGAGTCCAATAGCCTCTTTCTCTCTCCAATGTTTATTTCAGCTCTCCTCTTAGTTAATAAACACTGGTGCCCAGATGTCTTCCAGGTTTTCCTTTGCCTCCATTAGAAGAGAAGCTTGCTTTCTTGTAAAATGAAATTTCAGAATCTCTAGGGTGGATTCAGCTGAGTTGTTGCACTTGCAGGCACAACTGCAAGAACAAGTCACACTAGGGCAATGGGGCTGCCTCCCTCTGCAGTGGGGCTCTGGGTGGTCTGGAGAAGAGGGGAAGATCATTCTGCCTGGCAAGCAGAATGGCTTGTGCTAACAGAACAATGGCCTCCCCACAACTTTGAATTGAACAATAACATGCAACCCTATAGCAGATCAGCATATTTCACAGCGATTTTTCTCTAGCGCTGCTGGAAGAGACAGGGGAAAAATATTTATTTATGTATTCTTTAGTTCTATAATTCATACCCTTTCCTTCTATAACAGGATGTACTCAGAGGAAATAAGAGAATAAAGACATGGAAACATACTTCCAGTCAAATGGCTCAGCCTTCTCACCTGTCTTTGTAAGCCAATTGCCTGAGGAAAAATTATGGGGCAGCAATAGAAACATTCCACCCTTGGAATTCATTTCTCTTTAGGGCAGGAGTGGGGAATCTTTTTCTGACCAAGGGCCTGGAGTAGTTGGGGCCAGATCGCACAGGAGGTGATGCCAGACATGTACATAATCACATGTCCTTAATGCACAAATGCACACATACACTGCTCCTCTGTTCCCTCTCCTTGGCTGACGTGTGCAGGTCAGCTGAGGAGCCGGGAGTGATGTTTTCTTCTCCTAACATGCGCACACACAGCCACTTGTAACTAGACAGTCACACACATGCAACACACTTCATACACACACAGACCCCTTCTTTTTCCTGCTCAGCTTCCCTCTTCCTCAGCTGATCTGTGTGGAGTTTGTGTGCATGTGTTTGTGGAGTTATTTTTATTATGAAACTAATGCGCACAGTGACAGACACCAACTTGGATGGCTTTAAAAGTAAGTTAAGTAGGTTCATGAATGACAACCCTACCCATGCCTACCATTCATGGTTCTATGTTCTCTCTCCACTGTCTGGGGCCTATGCCTCTGAGCACCTGCCAGTTCCTAGGAAGGACACTGTATGAAGAGAATGCTTAACAAAATGGCCCTTGGGCTTGATTCAGTAGGGCTTTTCTGACGTCCTTAGCAACATCATGGTTTAGAGTTTACCTACACTCACCTGGAATGTTCAAAATGTTTCAAAAAGACCACCTGTCCTCACCCCCTTGTCTCCTCTCATTTCTGTTGAATGGGACACCTTTTAAAAAATAAATAAATTCCACCATGTTCCCTGTGTTCGACAACACATTCCCGTAACGGCAGCTTCCTTCAAGCACTTCAAGAAGCAGCTGCTTTCTGGTATTGTTTCCCAAAGGCAACATCTGTGTTTACGGCTCCTCTTTCTTTTGCTTCCATGCGAAATCTTGTGGTGGCCACATTTCCTTGGTCTTCTTTCTTCTTTTGGATCTATCAACACCCCGCCTCCATCCCCCTGATGTTGCTTGTTTACAAATGCTGCTGGGTTGAGTGTCTTTTCTGAATTCCATTGCCAAGCTGTTTGCTTCCCTTTCTACCTTGCCACAGGAAGCGTTAAGTCTTCTGGGAGCTCCGCTGTATCTGTCAAGCTTCAGAAGTCTCAGCCCCAAATGCTCAGAAGCAAAAGGCTGCCTTCAGGACTCAGGAGCCCAGCATAACACTTGGAGCCCTTACAAGTAAGGATAAGGTTCTGCGGTTGGGCAATTTGGCTGGGGCACTTGTAGTTAAGTCTCATGAGGGAGTCATGTTTTCAAGCTTTCATTTGCAGCTCCTAACATTTGAGCTTTCTGCTCGCTCATAGAACATTTTGCCTGCATTTTACAGCAGCGCTTTATGGCAGGACAACATTAGTATCATCCCATTGTTTTAGATGGGGACTAAGATATAGTAAGGGATGCAGGTGGCGCTGTGGGTTAAAGCCTCAGCACCTAGGACTTGCTGATCG